TGATGGTGCCAACTTGGGCCAGTGAAGCAACATCCTCCACAACTAGACTGAAGAACAAAAGGACAGCAACTTGTCTGTTCCCCTTCCCCTGATTCCCCAAAAAAATCTTAAAAAAAAAAAAAAAAGTTTAAAACTAAACTGAGTAAATGGTAGCTGTTATGGTCACTATATTTTTGTGGATTTACACCAGCATGTAAGCAAGGATAATAGCTTATCTTTGTTATCTACTCCCTTCCCACAGGTCTAACTCTGAGTCTTCTTGGTATGATACAAGCTCAATGTAAACCTGATTATGTCTACTCATTCTCTTGCTTTTTAAAACCCTTTGATGACTTCCCTCTACTCTAGGGGTGAAAACTCCTTCATCACAGAGCTGTCTACTTTTTAAAGGCCCTATCATTTCAGCCTCAATTCAGTTCCTTCTTTTCGTTGTATTCTGTGGGTGGGCCTTTTTTCTGTTCCTCAAATGAGTCATACTCTATCCTACCACAGATTCTTAGCACATGTTGTCCCTACTACCCATGACATTCCTCCCCTTACCCTCTCTACCAACCACCTGTTACCTAATTACCTTCCACTTTCCTCAGATCTCAGTTCGACCTTCATTATTTCCTCTAGGAAGCCTCCACTGACCAGACCACACCCCAAAGCTGGGTAATTCTTCCTCACATACACTCTCATACATTGTCATGTAGCTCTCCGTCAGAGGACTTAGCACAATTATATGAAAATTTTGTTGTTGATCATTTCATCCCCAGCACTTGGCACAGGGCCTGTCCTAGAGCAAACGACCAATAAATATTTGGTGAATAAACCAATGAGTAAATGATGACTTGCTGACAAGGAGGCCCCACTTCATAATCTTCCCACTTGCTGCCCGCAAGACCTCACTCAAGTGTTCTCCTTGAAATGCCTGGCATGAAAATCCCAGTCTTCTCACCAGTCATCACCCACGTTGAAGGCATTAAGGCTCTTGGTGAACCCCTGCATATTGGTGGGGCTGACTCTCTGCAGGAAGTCAATGTAGTCCTCAGAGTGGAAGCGGCACATGTCATGCTGGGACGCCTGGTATGGCTTGAAGACCTCAGGATGGAAACACAAGATGAACCCAGGAAGAGTCAGTCACAATCATGGGGCTGAGACTGATCACACTGAACCCAGCTCTGGGGACGGTCCAAAATCACACCCAGCAGTCCCTTTACCCCCTAATCCTTGTTAATCTATGAGACGAAGATCAGTGAACAGAGGCTTCTATTAACCACTTGGTTTATTATGACCAGCACCCTAAAGACCACTGGGCTTGCCTTCTCGTTCCCACCTCTAGCCCAGCCTTTCCTCCCTTCTCAACCGTGAGCCCTGATCCACCTGCCGTTTCCTGGATCTCCTACTTCTGATTCTCTCCATACTCATCTACTCCCCTGGACTCTGATTCTATCCTCTCAGTCCTCTGAGTTTTTAACTTTGGAGTCAAATAATATGAACTATACGAGGTATGATAAAAAAATATGGGAACATTTAAATTTAAAAAAATTATTACAGTAAAAGACACATTGCCATTAATCCCCCTCAAAATACTTACCCTCACTTTAAACACACTTATCCCATCGTTTTTGCCACTTTCTTAAGCAGTTCTGGAAGTCCTCTTCCATGAGTGTCTTTAGTTGCGCTGTTGTGGCTGCCTCAATGTCCCGAATCAATTCAAAACATTTACCTTTCACTGTCATTTTGACTTTGGGGAAGAGCCAGGAGTTGCACAGTGCCAGATCTGGTGAATAGGGTGGATGAGGACACACTGTAATGTTTTTATTTGACAGAAATTGCCGTACAAGAAGCGATATGTAACACGGAGCCTTTCCATTGTAATCAACAAATACAGTGAATGCTGCTGCCGAGTGCCATTCAGTGGAAAGGCAGGGATCTTCAATACTGGAAGTGGCGTGTCGACCTTAGTAACAGTGTGACAAGTTTCAACTTGTTCAGTGCAGTCAGTTGGGTGTTGGTACATGGCAATTTCTGTCAAATAAAAACATTACAGTGTGTCCTCATCCACCTTATTCACCAGATCTGGTACAGTGCAACTCCTGGCTCTTCCCCAAAGTCAAAATGATTCAGGGCATCGAGGCAGCCATGACAGCTCAACTAAAGATAATCAGGGAAGAGAACTTCCAGAACTGCTTCAGAAAGTGAAAAGAATGATGGGATAAGTATGTTCGAAGCGAGGGGGAGTGTTTTGAGGGGGATTAATGGCAATGTCTCTTTTACTGTAATAAATTTTTTTATGTAAACATTCACCATATTGTTTAATCACACGTCGTACGACAATCTTCTAATTAAAACCACAAGTGCCCAGGTACTAAGCCAGAGATTTATTATCTTTTGAGGGGTTCACACACTTCTTTAGAAATTGGACAAGAATAAAAAGCTTTTCTCTCCCCCGAAAATGCACACAGGTACATACCAACAAACAATTTCAAGGGATTCATAGATTTATGCACTAACATCACCTCAGTCTCTTCTATGATCAGTTCACTTGTCTGCACCTCAGTACAAGCAGTGGACACTCATTCATACTGTTCACTAATTCCTCTTGCAATGCATGAGAGCTGAACTTAACTGGTATAATCACAAATCACAGCTACAAATTCCAAGCTGGGGACGGACAGCATGTGTGTATCTGGGAAATAGAGGGTTGGGTAGTGATTACCAGTGTAGGAGTACTCTAGGTTGAAAAGGGAACACCCAGGACATCTCTTGCTCTCCTACACACACACACACACACACACACACACACACACACACACACACACTTTATACACAGGGCAGCAGTCCTTCCTAGAGCTCCAGCTCCTTGGAGGTGGAGAGAGGTCACAGAGAAGGGGTGGATACTGGGGGCAAACTTCACATCCAGCTACAGTGATCCCGACCCTCTCCCTTCCCTAAGGCCACAGCACTGCTCACATCCTAAGGTGCTAGGGAGGAACAACCCTTCTGTCTTCAAACCAGCCCCAATCCACCCTAACTCTAGGCCAACTATTAGTCCACCTGAGGTCAAACTGTGGCTGGCCTAAGGTGAAAAAGTAACTCCCATTAAGTCGGTGGATGCACTGCATGGGCGGGTGGTGCTCTTGGTTCCTTTTATCCAGCCTGTCCCCACCCCCATTCGGGGTGGGTCTCATTTGGTGCATTCAGTGCGGTCTACCTGTCCCCTAGGGCCGCAGCTCGTCCCCAACCCCAATTCCCCAGCAGAGGTGGCAGGACTCACGATCATCTTCTTATAGAGACCGTAGTGCAGGACCAGACTATGTGTCAGTGCCAAGCGATGGGGCTTCATAGGGTGCCCAGCCCCTGGAAATGGGAAAAGAGAGTTCGTCAGTTCTCATCCCTGGAGTTGTAGCCCCAGCCTCAAAACCTCCGCGTCCCGAAACCCCTCGCGTACCACCTTGTTCCCTCACCGTAATGGAAGTTTCCCACGTCGGGGTCGTAGAAATAGGCCACAGTCTTGGCCATAGTACCCGCGGGAGCAGGCCCCGCGCCTCCACTGCCCGCCCAGCCGTCTGCCCCACCCCCGGCCTTGCGTTCTGCGTAAGCACGCAGCTCGCTTCTGCGGAACCGGGAGACCCAGGCCCCGCCTTCCCTAGACCACGCCCAGATTACGCCCCCTGCGGAGTCCCGCCCCTCGCCTAGGTTCTGGGTTCTGGGGCTTGAGCCTCTGGGCATGGGCAGAAGGCAGGTAGCAGAGGTCCTAGGATGCCAGGGCTTTTTCCTTCCGGGCGGGGATCAAATCCTCGAGAAACCGAGCCATCCCGTCCAGCTACCTGCCCCAAACGGGGCGCAGGCCGTGGTGACCTCTCTAGGAGGCTCCGGAAAACCGGCCACGCCGCCCATCTCGGGTGCAGAAAGTCGGCTTCCCCCGATCCATTGGAAAGATTCCTGGCTATCCACCCGGTCGGGGCGTCTGAGTGCAGGAGCCGCGACAGGCGTGCCTGATAAACCAGTGAAGAGCACTCTCGCCTTACTGTCTATCCATCCCACCCGGACCCAGGCTCAGCGCTGCACACTCCCCCGGGGGGGCCCGGCGCAGTCACGCGCGCCCCACACTTGAGCTCACAAGCGCGCAAGACTCTCGCTCTCCGCCCTGCACACCTGCGCTCCGCCCCCTGGTCCCGGGCCGGCGACGGGCGAAGACATTTGGGAACCCAGGGCGGCTGCAGCGGCACCCCCAACTCTTCCCGTTTTCTGGGCCAGAATTGTCTGGAGCCTTCCGCCGCTCCAAACCAGCCTGCATCCCTCTCCATCCTTCCCTCCCCCCGCCTGCCGCGGCACCGGTATCTGCAACCGCAGTCCGGAGCCGGTGAGGCGGCGAAGGGGGGAGGGGAAGGAAGCAAGCAAGGGATGAGCGCCTGGAGGGCGTCGGGGGCCCTGAGCCGGACTAAGACGCCCCAGGAGCCGGAACGCGAGCAGGAGCCGGAGCCAGAACCAAACCACCGGTACCGGGTGGGCCAGGTGGTCAGGATGGGAGGAACCAAAAGCCGGGAGGATGCTGGAGTACAGGCAGGGGAGGGGGCTGCAGAGGCTTGGCTCGGGCCGGCGCCGAGGAGGTGCGAACGCTGACTCAGGCTCGATTTTTGCGCTGGCCGCCTGAGAATTCCGTCCCATCTCGCTCTGCAGTGTCCTTGGGAGGGACGGAAGCACAGGACAAGCTGGAAAGGGGAAGCGTGACCAGGGTCGTGGAAGAGGGCTTGCGCAGCCGCGGTCTAGCACCCCTGGTCCGGACCAGCACCCCTGGCCCGGACAGCTCCCTGGTTGGGTAATGGGTGGGGCCGGACCTACGAGGCTCTCCTGTTTTGGATCCTGAGAACCGCATTCCTATCCCTCCCCCCATCCTTAGCTGCAGTCCACTTACCCCAGGAGGCGCCCTGGCCCGCGCTCGCCCCCCAGGGCCTCATGTCGGAACCACAGCCTGACCTGGAGCCACCCCAACATGGGCTGTACATGCTCTTCCTGCTTGTGCTGGTCTTTTTCCTCATGGGCCTCGTAGGCTTCATGATCTGCCACGTGCTCAAGAAAAAGGGCTACCGCTGCCGCACGTCGAGGGGCTCCGAGCCTGACGACACCCAGCTCCAGCCCCGTGAGTGAGGAGCCTAGAACCTGGCTCAGTCACCTTTCTCCCTTGCCCCTCTCCCCACACCTCTGTCTGCCTTCCTGGCTAGCAGACCCAGGCAGAATCCCAACCAAACCTTCAGGAGGCCTAGTGATGCTTTCTTGAGTCAGTAAGTGGGGTGACAGCACCCTGAAAGCAAGGTTAGAGAAGATAGCATGCGTGGGAAGGGCCCACTGATAGTAATCTTGGGCTCTGGTTGGCTTTCCCATCTTTTCTGCCCTGGTCCCTGAAATGCCAACACCCAGCATAATGGCAAAGAGGCAAAGGAGTATATCTTGAGCAATAAGCCACAGAAGCCACCTCCTAATGTCCCCCAAAGCTGACTCATTTCTCAATTCCTTGCCAACTTCTTTCATCCTTCAGCTGAGGATGATGACATGAATGAGGACACAGTAGAGAGGATTGTTCGCTGCATCATCCAAAATGAAGGTGGGTATAGACTGGCCCCCTGCTCCCTGCTCCTCCTTGGCTTCCTCTTGCTCTGACCTCCCCCTCCACTGACTCCCTTTTTTCCTTCTCCCCTCAGCCAATGCTGAGGCCTTGAAGGAGATGCTGGGGGACAGTGAAGGAGAAGGGACAGTGCAGCTGTCCAGGTGAGCTGGAAACAAGGGCCAGCATGACTTAGCTTGCCTTGGAGAGTACCCTCTCCTCCAGCACAATCCTCTCCCAGTCTCCTTGCATGTTTGGGCTGGGGGGAAAGCAAGGCTAGCTAACCTATAGGGAGAAAGTTGTTTTGTAGAAATCTCAAGTCTTTCAAACCCTACCTCCCATCTGGATATCATCAAGCCTAACATCACCCCTTGTGCCACTCCTTTGGGTTCAGCATTGCCTTCTTTTTAAAAAAAAGCCCTGGAAGGGGGAACACACAGTCACTACCATCTTAATACTGAGTTTATTAGATGAAGACAAGAAAAGAATGTTGGGGCCTGGGGAAAGTGGGGCATCTGAGGGTTTAAGGAGCACATTGAAAGAACAGAACAAATGAACAAGAAGGGAAACAGGAATGTCACTCCTGCTCCCTTTCTCCCTACTGTCCAGCGTGGATGCTATGTCCAGCCTGCAGGATGGAACCCCCTCCCATCATCACACAGTGCATCTGGGCTCTGCAGCACCTTGCATCCACTGCAGCCGCAACAAGAGGCCCCCGCTTGTCCGTCAGGGGCGCTCCAAGGAAGGAAGGAGCCGCCCCCGGCCTGGGGAGACTACCGTATTCTCTGTGGGCAGGTGGGGAAAGAGTGCTCCAGGGCAAGGGAGGTTGAGGTGGGAGACCCAATGATGGGGCATACCTAACTCCAAAAGTGGGCCCTGGCCCTTTTCTCCTTGAATGTGACCTATAGCAGGAGTCACGCTACATAATGTGCCTCACAATCTGAGGAGGTCTCCCCTGCCCTAGGCCAGAGGGAAGCGGCCATCAAACCCAGGATGTCCCTGGTTGGAGAGAAGGGCCAAGCAGCCTTCGAGTTGTGGTCCTAAGCCCCAATGTACCCTCCTTTCCCAGGTTCCGGGTGACACACATTGAGAAGCGCTATGGGCTGCATGAGCATCGTGATGGCTCCCCCACGGACAGGAGCTGGGGATCTGGTGGAGGGCAGGACCCAGGGGGTAGTCAGGGGTCTGGGGGAGGACAGCCCAGGGCAGGGATGCCAGCTATTGAGAGCCTGCCCCCTGAGAGGCCACAGCCTCAGGCCCTCGCCAGCCCCCGAGTGCAGAACGGAGGACTCAGGGACAGCAGCCTAGTCCCTTGTGCACTTGCGGGGAACCCTGGAGCCTCTGCAGAGCCGACGCTGGGGGCTGGAGGGAGGGGCTCAAGCCCAGGGCTGGCCAGCCAAGAGGCAAGTGGACAGCCAAGCAAACTGGACACCTCAGATCACCAGGTATGAAGACATGGCCAGGGCTGTGGTGGGCTCAGCTTATTGCCCCCCCACTCTGGGGATGGGGTGCACTGCTATGACCCACATCCTGTTCTCCCATTGTTGACCCCTCCTCTCTCTCAGGTGTCTCCAGCACGGGGAGCAAGGGGTGTGTGAGGTGAGTCTGCCAGGCTCCAAGTCAGATAATCTCATCTTCCCATCCCCTACTTATCCTACCTAAACCCATCAGCTCCCTGTACCCCCAGGGTAAACTGCAGGCTTAGACTTTCCTACAAATCCCTTGGTTTGGTAGCGGGGAGTGGGCATGTGCTCTAGGGGATAGGGAAGGTCCTACAGCCCCCAAGGAAAGGCTGGAACACAGCTTGAATAGGAGGCAACACTGTTACCCTTCCTCTCCTCCAAGCCTCCTTCATTATGCTGAAGGACTACCTGGGGGCAGGGCTAGGGGGGTGGGTGGGAAATGAAGCCCTTCCTCTCCACTGGACAGCACTGTCCCCCACCTGAGGGACCAGCCCTACTTCCACCTGGAGTTGCAGTCTCAGGCTGGGGGATCTTGGGAGAAGCCCACCTCCCACCCCCAGCCTCAGTCTCTTCCCCTTCTGCTTGCCAACAGGTCGCCTGACCCGCTTTCCCCATCACCTCGCTCCATATGTGTGGAGCAAGGAGTAGGCCTCTGCCCTTGGTGGGCTCCTAAAGCAATAGCACCTTAGCCCCCTGCCCTCTTGGCACAAGAGGCTCAGGCCCTGGCTTGGGCTTTGGGCCCTTTATTCACTGTCAATAAATTCGCTCAGATCATTATAGCTGCTTCACATATTGGCTTCAGCTCCTTCTGACAGGTCTGCCTCTGTCCCATTCTCCAACCCCCATAGCCCTGGCATCTGGAGTGGGGTGGGTCACAGAGCCAGGGTGGAGACATAGATGGGCCAGAGCCACTCAAGACTTTGGGGGATGGGGTCCAGCCCCAGCAATTTTAGGGTATTTCACCACCTTAGAGATGGACTGGTGGCAGAAGAGACAGCGGTAGTTTCAGCCTCGGAGATGGCAGGAGGATGGATGATGGGGGAAAAGGAAGAGTGGGTTCCAGCCCCGGAAGTGGGGAGAGTGGAAATGGGGGAAATTACAGCTTTTGGCTGTGTCACTCCGGATCACTGAGGAGTGGTCTCTGACAGCGTGGAGACAGGGGCGGCAGCAGCTTCCCTCACGGGCGGTGATCCCTCTGGCTTCAGGTGAGGGGATCTGGGTGGCCAGGATCTGGGGCTTTAGCCGGTGGCGGAGGCGGTGGACGCATCTGTAGGGAATATACAGTCAGTGCTCCAGAGGCCTCCCTTGGTGATATCCCTGTCCCTTCCCTCAGCCCCCAGAACAAAACAGAACAAATTGGAATGACCCCTCTCCTCCAAGGGAGAGACTCTTACCGGCCTGAGTCGGGGCGCCATCATGTCCAGGGGGCCCGGGCAGTCCAGGTCTTGGTCTGGAAACAAGAACTACAAGTCAGTCTTCAGATTTTGTTTTGTTCACTGTTCTATCTCAGCCCTTGGGACAGTGGCACTCTGTAAATATGTGGTGAATTAACAAATAGTCACCAACCTGGCACATAAATTCTATCTAGCCTCAATCTATCTATCCTCAACACTTATGGGGCAACCTGGGCAGTAAAATCCATCAATCTATCCATCCTCAACACTTATGATTATACAGCAGGGCTGCTATATAATCAGCCCTGCTGAAGGTACCAGAGGAGGGAAGGTGGCATCCCCAGAACCCCACCTCCAATGGCTGTCAGGAACCCAATAATGAAACACCAACAAGCACCATGAATGACTGAGTGCTAAATCATTCAAAGTGGACTATGGGTGCTGGAGAAGGGGTGCAGATAATGCTCACAGGGGTCTCCAGGGTCAGGGAGGGAGGTGCTGTGAAGAAAGTGCAAGTACAGAAGGTTTTAGAAAAGGTGAACATTCCAAGAAGGAAAATAATGACACAAACCAAGGTGTTTGCAGGATGGAAGAACACTGAGAGCAGACAATGTGTATTGGGGGAAAACTGGCTAATTTTTAAAGTAATAATGAGAAAACAGCTATTGCTTACATCCTTGCTATGTGCCAGGCACAATGCTGGGCACCCTACAGACATCTTTTTAACTCGCACAACAACTCAGTGAGGTAGGGACCTTTCTCCTCACTCTGTCAAGACCCAGATAGCTTAAACATCTACCCCCAAATCACACACTAGGAAGTCATAGAGGGGAGTTTGAACAGTGGGCCTGGCTCCACAGGCCAAGCTCTTCTCACCATCATGCTTCAGTGAGCCTGAAGGTGGAGGTCCCGAGAGCGGGCGGAGGAGTCCAGCATAAACCACGAGTCTCAAGCTTCCTCCTTCTTCCCGCCTCTTCCCATCCCTGGACCCCCCGTTTCCTCTACTCACCTCCAGGGAGGACAGGTGCAGGGGACCCATCCAAGACAGAGGTGGGTGCAGGAGGGGAAAAGCTGGGAGGAGAAGGGGATGGCAGCATCTGGGGATGAGGGTCATAGTTATTTCTGGCATGTGGGAAGGTTTCACCAGCTTGTCCTCACATCCCATCTTCAATTCCTGTCTCACCACTCCCAAATATGGAGCGTGGCCAAAAGCTTGTATCTGGGTGGGAGTTGTAACTGCTATACGTTTCAACAGTCCATGTGTATTGACACTATGTCCCAGGGATTCTGCTAGCACTTCACATGCACCAATTTATTCATTCCTCACCACCACCCCATGAGGTAGGGGATTTTATGACTCCTACCTGTATCAGAGGTGAGACTCAGGCTAAGCCAGAAGCACTGAGCCAGTTAGTGGCAGTCCCGGCGAGAGCCCAGGTCTCCTGACTCCCACCCCTATGCTCTTCCTGCTGCATTATAACAATAGGTGCTGTATTTTAAAGCACTTCCTGTAGCCCACTGTGCTAAGGGCTTTACCTCCATTATCTTTAATCAGGATAGTCAGGGTTCTGAAGTAGGTATTATGCCCTTTTTACATGTGAAGAAACAAGCTCTGAGAAGTCAAATCACTGCTCAAGGTGACACAAAAGAAATCTAAACTCAGATGTATCCAGCACTAAAGTAGCACCACCAAACTCTTACAAAGACTGCCTTGGTTTCCCTTTTCTCAGCCCAGCCAAAGGAAACAGGGAGCCCCAAGCCACTGTAGAAGGTAAAGCTGGAGAGGGGAAGGGGTGTTAAGATGAATATGGGACTTTACTGGGGTGGAGCTCAACCCAGAATTGCCTGGGGACCCAGGGAGAAGGAAGCCTCACCTGTTCAGGGTCTGAGCATTCAGGCTGCCCTAGGGGGCCAAGTAGCTCCTCCACCAGCAGGGAGGGGAAGACTCCAACATGGCCCCCAAATTCTCCCCTCCAAAAGCCGTCATCCACTCCATCCTGGGCCCTGGGCAGCAGGCGGATGAGTGCTCCCTCAGGGAAGCTCAGCTCCTCTGTGCTCTGTCCCGTATAGCTGTACAGGGCACGGGCCAGGAACGCTGCAGAAGCCCAGGAGAAATGGTGAAGGGAGGAGGTGGTGGCCGTGGTACCCCAGGAGCATAACACCTCAGGGTCACAACCACTCAGTAACTATTCTCTATAGCCAGCATCCCCTGACCCAGAATTTCCCTTTCTTACCTGTGGGCTCTGCCCCCGAAGGATTGTCGCTATCACGGCCACTCTCAGGGAAGAAGTCCGGGAAGTTGAGATACCGCTCAGGGACAAAGCCTACCTCACCATGCTGGTTCCGAGCCTGCTCACCCAGCAATGAGAACAGATAACGGACTTGCCTCGGTAGACCACGGCCCTGGCCCTCCTCCACTCAGGCTTCTAGCTTTGCCTGGCTGGGTCCTTGTGGGCCGCTGTTCCCACCTCCCAAAGTCAGAGCCCAGGGTCCATACCCACCTTAACCCATTCGTCGGCATCTCCCTCCTCTATGACCTCCAGCCACTCTCCCTCTGTGATCGTCAGCTCATCCTCACGCCCTGCCTGGGCCCCACAAGGAAGGATTCAGGACTTGGCAGTCCCCCATCCCGGCCCATCTGGGGTCACCGCCCCCATTCACACCTGATATCCAAACACCACATGTGCGGAGCAGGGGAGAGGCCTGGTGGCCAGGGCTGGGGGGGCAGGCTCCTCAAAGAGTTCCCCTGTCTCTTCACATTCCTCAAAGTCAGAGAGCTCAGCATCCTCAGCCTGGAGGGAAGAGGGGTACAGAGAACAGACATCATGTCACTCTCAAGTACCCATTGTATCTCCCACTCCTTTACCCTATCCTTATAAAACTCAGTGGAGGGGAGGCCGGTTAGCTCAGTTGGTAAGAGTGTGGTGCTAATAACACCAAGGTTGCTGGTTCAATCCCTGCATGGGCCACTGTGAGCTGTGTCCTCCTTAAAATAAATAAACAAATAAATAATTTAAATTAAAAAAAACAAAACCTCAGTGGATCCTCTTCCAAGGTAGCACCACCCATCTGTTCACCAGGTATCACAAGCAAAATCACCACAGAGCAGAATAACACTAACAATGACCACAGAGTTAGACTATTGAGTGCTTACATTTGCCAGGCACAGTGCTAACTAAATATCTTATGTGTATCATCCCGCTTAATCGTCTTAATAACCCAGTGTTATTTTGTGTAACTATTAACTTCATTTTACTTATGAGATTAAGTCACTTTCCAAGATCACACAGCTAATAAGTGAGTGGCTGGCACTAGACGCACTTACAGTCTGCCCCCCAGAACCTTAGTTCATAACAACCATCCTATACTCATGATACAAGTTTGTTGAGGACTGTGCTATAAACTATGCAAAGCATTATACTTAATGATTTGATTTAAGCCTCAGAACAACCCTTTGATTTAGGTGTTGTTGTGATTCCCATTTTATAGGGTCTGCCCTCCACTGGGGAGTTTTACCCTCCTGAGTATGTGTGGGTCGGGAGCAGAGGGAGCTCACCAAGGGAGAGAGGTCCCTTTGGGACAGCCGGGCCTCGCTGAGCCGTCGCTCCTGCTCCACCTCATCCTGGGCCTGGGTCATGGCTGGCTTCAGCCAGAGCTGTACATCCAGGCCAGCCCCCTGCAGCAGGGCCAGCCGGGCAGCGCCCTTCACCTGGCTCACCTGGCGAGGGGAAGAGGGATCAATCAAGGCGATGGGTAGGCCTGCCTTTGGGGAGTGGAGCCTCCCTAAATATGTCCACCCTCTACCACTGCCTCTCCACTCCCCACCATCAGACAGAGGAGTAGAGGAAGGTGCCGCCTGACGAGGTGGGATTTCGGTGGCCCTAACCCCCAGCGCTGCGTCTCACTTGTGCCCGCCGGATGCTCTCCTTCACTTCCTGCAGCCGCTGCTCTAGGCCTGAAGCCTCCCGCTCTGGAGCCTGCTGCCGCCTCTGTTCCAGCCGCTGCAGCACCTGGTTGGGAAGGTAGAGAACAAGGGTAGGTGAAGATAGTAAGGGGCACAACTTACTATAGACCTGGCACTTTGCTAGCGGCTTCACATGCATTGTGTCATTTCATCTTCCCTATGAGGTGGTTGCTATTATCAGCCCCACTTTAATGATGAGGAAACTGAGGTCCAGAGAGGTAAAGTCACTCCCTTACCCAGGATTATATACCTACGAAGTAACAGAGCAGCATTTGAATCCAAGTGGGTCTAGCTCCAAAAGCTGTGCTCTTTTTTTTTTTTTTTATTAAAGATTTTTATTGGGGAATTGGGGGAAGGGGAACAGGCAAGTTGCTGTCCTTTTGTTCTTCAGTCTAGTTGTGGAGGACGTTGCTTCACTGGCCCAAGTTGGCATTGCGCTCTTCCCGGGCGAGGCAGATCAGTCCCCAGCTTCTAGACGGCCGCTCACGGCGGCTGCTGCTGGCTACACACGGTAGCCCATGGCAACCCACTGCAGCAGGGGCTGCAGCCTACACCGTCGCCGGCGACTCACGGCAGCCTAGCTCCAGGTTGAGCTGTTGTTCAGCATCTTAGCTGTAGAGGGCAGTGTCACTGGCCCTCATGTGTAGGATCCAAACCGGGGCCCTCTGGCATCCCAAGCCAGCTCTTAACCAACGCGCCACTCGGCCGGCCCAAAAGCTGTGTTCTTAACCACAGTGCCACACTATTGGCTTAAAATGCCTTTCTCTCCCCTCCTGCCTGCAGCCCCAGGACATCCCCAGTGACTCCAGGATCCCCATCTCTCAGCTATTCTTGTACACCCACAACACCTGCACGCCCCACCTCACCCGAAGCCCGTGGTTCTGGATCTTGTAGTCTCGGGCAGCTCGGCTCGTCCAGCGCTGAACCTCTTTCTCCAGGTCACTCTCCCCAGCCACACCTGCGTGCCCTTCCAGCTCCAAGGCACACACCTGAGTGACCAGTAGTGCTGTGAGGAGGACATCATGCTGCTCCTTCTCTACTCCCCTTCCCTCTAGTTCCCTCCATTTTTTCTTCTTTCTGTCCTAACCTCCAGGGATACGGACAAAGAGGTGGAAGCACACACCTATGTCTGTGGACACAGGTGTGTACTCGTGTGAACACACAGACAGAGAGCCCCAGAAACGGGATACAGGTTGAGGGACACAGGTAGAGGGAAAAGGACAGTACAGTGGACAGAACGCCAGAATGAAGTGTGTTAATTTGTGTCCTGGTGAAAGGGAGGTGAACTGGAGTTCTGAAAGTCCCTCTCCATGGTTTAACAGTTACCAAGTTAATATCAGGACAAGGAGAGGAGAGGAGAGGCCTAAACTACAGTCCCCTTACATTTGGCCTAGTTCCAATCATCAGGGGCGGGTCTCACCTGATCATTCCCTGCTGGCTGAAACTTCTGAGGTGGTGTGGCCGAAAACACCCCGGGCTCCTGAAGGAAGAGCTGCAGGTCCTGCTCCCAGCTTACCTGGGGGTTGGAAGAAGTCAAAGTCAGTCACCCAATGGCTCTCTCTCCAAACCTGTCCCCTCTTGGAAGAAAGAGGACAAGGTGAAAAGGAAAGGGGCAGTCGTGCAATGGGGTGGTCTGTACTGGGAGAGAAGGGTAAAGAGGATCTCTGGGGAGCTCTTCCAGGGAACAGCTCTCACCTGGGAGGTTGCCTGCGCTCCGTGGCGGGCATGCTCCAGGGCCGTCTCTGCAGCTTCCAGCTCAGTGCGGCTCAGTAAGGTCAGGGGGTCTCTCAAATGTTCCAATAGCTCACTGACCAGGGCCTGGAAAGAACCCCAAGATACTGATATCACCACCCTTCCCCCAGGCCTTTACCACAAAGCAGGCGCTCTGTTGAGGCCTGGATGGGTGATGGGTATGAGGTGGGGAAAGAAGGAAGGCATAAGACATTATTATTGCTTCTGATAATAGGCCCTCGTGCGTGCACAGCACTTAACTGTTTAAAAAGCGTTTTCACATCCATTCTCTCCCTTGGGCCCCATTAGTCTTATAAAGTAGGCAGAGCAGGGGTTATCCCTGATGAGGAAGCTGGGGTTCAGAGGCGTTAAGTGTGCTACATAAGGTCACACAGCTGGCTAGAAGCTGAACCAGAACCCAAGTCTGTATTTCCTACCCACTCTAAGCAGGACAGGTACCTAGCCCACCTAGCCTGCTGCTGGTGGGAAGCAGAGAGAGCCCCCCGCTCCCTCGCCCTCCCCACCGAGAGGCATGGGGATCTGGGTTGGGACTGGCCTTGAGCAGGGCTGGCAGTTCCTCCTGGTAGTAGTGGTCAAGATGGGCATTGGTGGACACCAAGTTGAGCAGGTATTCATTGCGGGCCGCTCTCAGCTGCTGGGAGTACTGGGCTGACTGGGTGGACAGCTTAGGAGAGGAAAATAGGATGTCACTAGGGAGTCCTGGACCCTTGGGGTCCTTTCATGGTCAACCCAGCTCCAGAATGGATTCTCTCATTATTGAGATGTCTGACATTCTACTAAAAATGTTATATACTCACAACTCCTGCTCAAAATCCTCTAATGGCATCTGTATACATTTAAAATAAAATCCCAACTGCTCCTTCCTGTAGTCTACCAGGTCCAACAGGAGCTGGCCCCTGCAACCTTTCTGACCTCTGTTTACAGGGCTTGTCTCCTTATTCACAGTGCTGCAGCCACACTGGCCTCCTCTGAGTTCCTCGAGCTTACAAAGTTATTCCCACCTCAGAGCCTTTGCACTCACCATTTCCTTTCCCTGGAATGTTCTTCCCCTAGATCTTTGCATGGCTGGCTCCTTCTTGACACTCAGGCCACATGTTCAGAGAGGCTTTCTCCCCTAAATTACACCCCCCTGTTACCCTTTATCATAGTGCCTTGTTTTATTTTCATTTAATCTTATTATATATTTGTTTATTCACTATCTGTCTCCCCTCACCAGGCTGTGAGGATAGGAATTCCATTGGTAGTGTTCTCTACCGTATCCCCAGTGTTTAGAACAGTGCTTAGTACACATAAGTCCTCAATACATACATACTCAAGGAATGAAAAAGAAAGGCACTATTTTCACTGTACGGATGAAGAAAACGAGGCTCAGAGAGATCAAGTTAACCAAGGCCACTCACCAAGGAAGTAGGGAAGCATGGATTCATCCCAGTCTCTCAGGCTTATGCCCCAGGGTTCCAAACCACCAGACTACTCGGCCCACCTCTTCCCTGCCCCTGCTCATGCCCGCACGCCCCGAACCTTGGTGCTGAGTTTCTGGAGACTGGTCCGAGTGTGGAAGAGCCCATGGTCACTGCGGTTCAGCCTGTGTAGGAAAGGGAAAGGAGTCAAGGTCAGGCCCTGCCTGTACACATCCCCCTCCCCCAAGGCTTGCTAACTAACGCCCTATGACCCCACCTGGCCTGGACATCAGCAGCCTTCTCCTGTGCCAAGGCCCACACACGTTCCCGCTGCCCGTACAGCTTCCGACTTCGGCTCAGCTCCCGGACAGACTGCAGCACCTCAGCCTGTGCCCTCTGGAGGTTCTCTGCTCCCTAGGGGGCATGGACACAGTCTTGACCCAGACACCTCCAGCCTCAAGCCAGCCCTTCCTTCACCCCATCCGCTGAGCCATACCTTCCTAAGCACCTGCTCCTTGGCACTCCGCCCGGTGCCCCCTGCCAGGTCACGGTATCGGTCAGATGCCTGGAGCCGTGCTTGGCCTCCAGCCACAGTAGCATCCAGCAGACAGCGCCAGGCACCAAACACCATCCTGCCCCTCCCCAGAGAAGGTCTGTGTTGAGGAGGGGAGTGCTCCAAAGCTTCACAAGACACCCCCACAATACCATGGGCGACAGAGTGCTTTCCCATCCCCCTCATCTGGGAGCCCATCAATCGATCAGCCCATTAGCTCAGCCACAAGGATCGCTCACGCCTTCCGCCCCTACCCACAGTGTCCTTGCTAGGTCAGCTCCTCTCCCACTGCTGTGTCAGCTCTACCTGCAGCTCACATGTTCTCCCCCCTGCTGGGCCTTCCTTTCCCCACAGGTTCCTGGGGTTGAGCTCCTCATCCCTTCTTGGTCCTTTGGCCTCCCCCTCCATGGGACCCACCTGCTGTCCATCTCCCCGCTCCGATGCCCTTCCCTCTTCAGGAATGGCCCAGCCAGTTTCTGGAGTGCCTGATGGGAAAGTCATCACAGACCCAATTCCCTTTCAAAGACTCCCCCCAAACTGGGAGAATATAGGATCAAAGGATAATAATGCCATTCACTGAATGTATATTAAGTGTCTCTCACTTTGTAAATGCTTTACATGCATTAACTTACTCCACCCTTACAACAATCCTACATAAAGGTACAATTATAGTTATTCCCATTTTACGGAGAAAGAAACTGAGGCCAAGAAAGGTGAAATAACTTGTCCAAAGTGACACATCTAATAAGTGGCACAGCAGGGATTGGACAGAAGTCTGCCTGACCAGGCATTTGCTCTTGACCAGAATAGGGGTATGTGTGGAGGGACATGGCTGGTGGTATAGAGGAAGCTAGAAGAAAAGGGAAGGTCCAGAGAAAGGAGTCCCATACCTGCCCATACTCCCGCTCAATGGCTGCCCTCTGCTTGCTGTAGGACCTGTGGAGATTAGGGGGTGGGGTGGTGTTACTCTTTGGTCCTTTCTCCCACCTCCAGTCCTCTCCTCAGCCTGGGCAGGAGGAAGACAGGAAGGGGGCCTAGGGTGTGACTACACCAGGAGGGATGAGACTGAAGAGAGTCCTTGAGATCACCTCAAGCATCAGCAACACAGGACAACCTCACCTCACTGCTCAGAGCCTCAGCACGATCCTCCCCACCCCTGGAGAACCATCTGTGGGCTTGGAGGTGAGGACTGATGGGGGCCTGGGTACAGTGTCCGCCAGCCTTCCAACAGGTCTGGAAAAGGGAGGGCGGATTCTGCCCTAAGCTTGATTGTGGGGGTGGAGGGAGTGGTGTGGAGTCAAGGGGGTTAAGGGAGGGTCCCTGCGCGTTTATGTGTGTGTTGAGGTGGGAGAAGTATAATTCCTATCCGGTATCTGGAGAGGCAGGCCTAGGGTGAGGGCTGTGAATGGGCAGGTTGGAGACTCTTCACCCCAGCTTCCTGCCTCCGACACCCCCTCCCCAACCCTGGCCCCGATGTCCATCGGTGGAGAGGCGGAGCGCGACCGCGAAAATGCGGGTATGTGGAGGGGGTCAGGGGCTACCTGATGTCCTCCAGTAGATCTGCCTCCCTCTGCTGCCGGGTCTGAAGGATGCTCAGCTGCTCCAGGAAGCGAAGCTTCACCTCCTGGGCGGGCTTCACCTTAGGGGGTAAGAAAAGGATGAAGACCCCTGGCGCGAGGACCTAAAAAACACTCCGCTCAGGCAGCGGTGAGGAGGCGGGGCCGGGGAGGGGCTGGGCTGTTTCCTCGGTTACTTCTGAGTCCAGCCGTTACCCCTTCCCACTTCTAGTCCCCCACCGCGAGTCCGGTGCCCCCTTGGACCCCACCACTCCCCCAGCCCGCCAGGAGTCCCCATTCCCAGGCCAAGCTCACTTTTCTGGGCGGCGGCTGCATCTCCGTTCCGGCCCAGGCAGAGACTCGACTCCGGAACTCGAGGAGGCCCCGCCCACGCTGAACCCCCCCGCCCCTGACCTGGCCCGGCTCCGCCCTCACCCCGCCCACGTCTGGTCGGGCTACGCGTTGGGCCGCGAGGCGCCAGGGGGCCAAAGAGGAGCTAAACCTCTGTCATTGCTTCCAATACACCAGAAAGGATACGGGTCGCGGGGTGGACGCCGCGTCCACTGAGCGGTAGGGGGAACCCCAGGTTTCGGAGTCAAGACGCCTGGGTTCTATTTCTAGTGGAGCCTATGACTCAGCCGGTAATTATTTCTAATTATCATTTACATATGCAGATCTCCAGTCCCGCCTCGAAGGGTGAAGAATGGCGAGGAACTCAGTCTGTGACCAGGGAAACTGAGTCACTGGATGCCTGAGCAAAGATGCGTCTGACGAGGGAAACAGGGTTGGTCCCAGATCTTTTCCTAGGTCCCACTGAACTGGAAAAGCCAGAGTGAGCAGAAGTGAGAAAGATGCCTGGAGCCAGGAAGGAACCAGTCCCAGAAGAAAAGATATATACATCCCCGGCCAGTGGAAGCTAAAGGATAGCAAATGGGTGTGAGGTGGGAGATGAGCTGGGGCTTTGTGGCCCAGAAAGCCCCAGTCACCTTTAGGGTCTGCCCTTCAGGCTCTGCACCCCAGAATCTACCAGCTTCCATACAGCTTTCTGAGGATTCACACACCCTTTCCTCACCTATCCTTTGCCCATGCCTGTCACCACACCCCCAACTTGGAAAAGGCAATTATTTGTGGCTCCAAACTCCAGATTCACATTTCCAACAGCCCACTCACACCTACAATTGTGTATCTAATCAGCACCTTAAACTTTTAAAACAGCTCCTTCAATCTGAGCCTTCCCCAGTCACCTCCCGCAGGTAACATACTTAAATGGCACCCCTCTCCATCCAGCTGGGAAAGTCAGAAACCCAGGGTCAGTGTGCCCTTTCTCCTAATCCCACATTCCATTCATCAGCAAGCCCTATAGCTTCTTTCTAAAAAAATATCTCCTATTGTTTCACTTCCCTCAATTTCCAAAACCACCAATGTAGTCCAAGCCCCCATTATCAGTCTCCTGGTCTAATATCCGGTCTCTTTGCTTCCAGTCTTCCCCTTATGACACATGGTTCATAAAATGGCCAGAGTGATCGCTTTTTTTTTAAAAAAAAAAGGAAATCAGATCTCATCATTCTCTTCCTTAAAAACTCTTCAGTTGCTTCAGAATAAGATCCAAATGCCCTAGCATGGCCTACAAGGCTGTGCATAACTGGACCCTTGCGTATGTTTTCCCCTTCGGCCTATGCTCTGCTGCTGCTTCTCACTCACTGTGCTCCAGCCTCTTTGCTGTTCCTCAAGCAGGCCACGTCCCTTCCCACTGCAGAGCCTGCTGCTTTCCCTCTTCTGGAGTGTTCCTTCTTCCAGCACTGCACATGTCTGGCTTCTTACCTTGAAGTTGAAACTCTTCACAGAAGCCTTCCTCACCCACTCAGCCTAAAGGCCCCCTCCACAAGCATATCACTTTGGCTTAGTTTCTTCACAGCATTGAATTTGTGTGTGTATTTTTTGCTTCTGTTCCCCCTCTACAGTGGAAGCGCTATAAAAGCAGGGGCCCCATCTGTTTTGTTCATACTATATCCCCAATACCTGGCACCAACTGGGTGCTCAATACATATTTGTTGAATGAATGAATGAATGAATGAATGAATGAACGAATAAAAGAATGGTAGCCTTTTCCTTCCAAGGTTTATTAACAGGGACCCATCCTTTTTGGCTCCTCTTTGCCCCAGCTCCCAATCAACTTCCCCACTCTAGGGCGGCAATGTAGTCCCCAAATGTAGGAGGTGGGGTGGGGTAGGACAGATTTGGAGATCATTCAGATCGCTGGCTTCCAAATCTTTTTTTTTTCTTTAATGCAGTAAAACTATTCTTTTCAAACCCCAAATCTCTCACAGAACGCCTACATAATGAACATGTAAAGCAGGAGTTGCCCTTGTTGAGGGAAAATTTGTGGGGCTTACAGCTCTGAGAAGCACTTTGATGTTCACGGCTCTCCTTATTTCAGTTACTTCATGGTACAGACAAGTGAGCAGAGGCCCAGGGAAGGGCCATGACCTGCTCCTCTCTGGACAGGATGCAGCCTCTGGAGCCCCCAGTTCTGTGCTCCTTCCACACCACCACACTGGATTCTAGAGTCTTTCCAGACAGGGCAGAGGAAGCTCCCCACAGTGTCTGCCATGGTGAGAGCTTGGGTCTCTTGGTGACCTGCCTCCTCAGACTGCTGGTCATGTGAGGGGCTGGCTAGAAGGTAGACTGGAAGTGCAGGGGGGTGGGGTGGGGAAGCCAGGTGTCTGTGTTGGAAGGCTTCTGGGGCTCGGGGCCTGGGGGCTGGAGGGCTCGGAGGGGCTGCCCAGGCCTATGGTGGTTTCACCCTTCCTCAGGATGAGGCTGCTGAGCTCCTGGAGCAGCTGTTCCTCCAGGGATGCATGTGCCTGGGAGCTGTTCTTTGAAGGGGGCCCTGGAGGGGGCTCAGGTGGCCTCTCCTCCTGGCCCAGAGTGCCTGACTTGGAGAGAAGGGGTTGATCAGAGGACCTCTGACTGGCAAGGGGGTTCTCTGGCTTGGCTGTCTGCTCCCTCATAGAGGAAAAGGAGGTTGTGGTATCCTTGGTCAGCTCAGGGAAGGCCCCCACTTCCTCGTACACTGGCTCCTCGTACACTGGCTCCTCCAGTTCCTCTTGCTCCTCCAAAGACCCCTGGGATGACTTCATAGGCTGGATGGGAATGAGTTGGCAGAAGGCAGAATTAGAGTTACTGGATTATTAATCACTATCATTTACTGAGCTCTTGCTCTCAGCCAGATGCTGCAGAATACTTTGCAGGTATGCTATCAGAACAACTGTGCACAATGAGTTGCACTGCCTGTGTGTAAACTGAGGTCCAGAGGGGTTAAATAAGTTGCCCACAATTACAGAGAGTAAGTGGTAGCAGTGGAGCTTGAACCCAGGTCTGTCTGACTCCAAAATGCATTCACTTAACTACTTTTCTTCTGTTTCTCAGATCCTGTAACCACTTCCCCCTTTCATCATCACATCCTACCATCTCTCATTTTCTTCACTCTTTCTGGCCCCAGCACTCTCTCACTCTCTTTCTCTCTTATACACACACAAACACACACACACACACACACACACACACACACACACACACGCCTGCTGATGGTATGCATCAGGACAAATACAGAGGAACAGAGTGCTGACAGACACACAGCTGGCATAGGCACACTACTCACAAAGAACATGGACAGGGTCCTCCGGTTGTGAAGTCGCCTCTGGGCACAGGTAGGGTGGGGATGAGGGGAGGGAGAGACAGAGAGACACAGTGAGACCAGAAAACAAGACATAGGGGTGGGGAGTGGGGGCACAGAGAAAGCAGAGGGGTGGGCACCAGGTTGGCAGGTGCACCACCCCTTCTGATAGTGCGGCTAGGGCATGGGTAGGGGTCAGGAGGGGGTTGGGGCAGGCTGGGACCTTACCAGAGTCTGATTGGCTGAGAGAAGGGAGGCCCCGCTGTCATCCCCACGGATGGGTAGCAAAGGCATGGTGCCAAACTTCTGACGGGCAAGGTCAGAGGAGGAATGGCGTCGTAAGACCACTGGCTGCTGGTCATCGTGCTGGAGGAAGAGGGAGGGGTTGGCACAGGTGAGCATGGGAGGTACTGAGAAGCAGAGCTGGGATCACAGACCTAGCCCTCAGCTTTCTCCTTTCCCTCACCTGGGCTTTGAGGATGCTGGTGGTCCAGTCCCACATCTCATCCTCGTCAGTGCAGGACAAGTATCTGGGAGTGATCAAAGGGGAATGTAGGAGAAGGAAAGAGGTCATGGATAAAGGGATGGAGGAGAAAAAAAAACAAGGAAATGTAAGACAGGGAGCAGGGTTGGGCTACAGGAGAAGCCAGGCGAGGAGGTACTCACAGGTGCATCTTCTCCAGTATCAATGTGAAGCCCCACCTAGGAGGCAAAGGAGAACAAGGATGGGATGATTAGAAAGGCCAGAGGCTGGTAGCAGCAAGACCCTAGAAGCATCGCCTAGAGAAGAAAACTCACGCTGTTGGAGGCTTTAACTTCTTGCGGATTCCCAGGTAGACCTTGGCTCCTTCCAAAGGCCACTCCCGTTCTGGTTTAGAGCTCTGAGAATGTGGAGGGAGTCAGTGAGGTTGAGAGGTGAGAGAAGGATCATGGTTCATGAGGTTGAGAGGTCATGAAAGCACTGGGGTTATGTGATCACAGGGTCAGAGGGCCAGGGAGGCAGTGAGATTGATGAGTGTATGGGCTGTGGAGTGAGAGGGTCAGTGCAGTTATGGCTCCTCCAGACCACCATCCAGTGTCCCTCCCAAGTCACCCCAGGGCCCTACCTTCTTCTCTTTGAGCAGCAGCAGGCAGCGGCCACGCAGCAGAAAGAACCTCTCCTGGAAGCGGTTTCCCAGCAAGCGAGGCGGCTCCTCTCGACACCGCAATAGCCCCACCCGCGGGCTCTCGCGCCGGACACCTGGGCACAAATGGGCAGTGCTAGGTGGAGGGTCCTGGAAGAGAGACCTAGGGGTGCTGGGCTGCAGAAGTAGGCTCACCTGTAAAGAGGCAGCTGGCCTGGGCCAGGGAGACTTTTCTCAGGAGCAAAGAGGCTGAGCAGGGCTCTGGGAGATGGCA